GAACTAAAGGTGTGATTCTACATTATACATTATTGCATGATTCAGAAACTCACTTCAGTCAATGCTGGTAAATATATTCCTGTAAAAAGCTATATTTTGTTTCAGTGTTAATTGCCTTATTGTTTATTGTGTTAACAGGGCACTCAAGACAAAACATGATACTCCCAAGTATGGTCTGATCTTCCATGCATCTCTTGTGGGCCAAACAACACCAAAGCACAAGGGAAAGGTCCGTAAATCAAGACTTACAACATAACAAAATACATGCTACGTGTAGTTATGCAATGCTTTCGAGTTGTCTACCGTCAAATAATTCTCACAAGACAAGTCACTTGTATTTTCTCTAGGCAAGTGTGTATACTAAGAAAACACAAGTGACAAGTGGGATATTCTATGGTATCCCATGAGAGGGTATTGCATAACTATTTTATACCATGCCGCAGAAAATACAATGGCCAACACAGTTAATGCCACATACATATTGCACGTGATGGGCAGGTTGGATGTAATACTGTCAAATATACAACAACTTTCCTGTATTCTGATTGGCTGTATTTTCTATGGCATGGTGTAAAATAAATTATTTTATCATTGTATTATGATTTGAATTTCAATTTGACATTGCTCTTGTCTGTTGCACTGAGCATTTTGGTGTAATTTTTGCTGCCTGATTTTTGTCGCTCTCCTCCTTTTAATTGTTGTTGACAGATCTCCAGAATGCTGGCGGCCAAAACAGCCCTTGCAGCAAGAGTAGATGCCTTGGGTGAAGACAGTGGAACAGCTATGGGCATTGAAAACAGAGCCAAGCTTGAAATGAGGTTGAAATCCTTAGAAGAGAATCAGGTATGTAAGAAACCCAATCACCAATGGTTATCTATTTTCCTGCCCATGGCACAAGTGACATTTTGATGTGGTTTGCATCACACCTGTGGCATTAGTTCATATAGTGTGATCATCCGGTTGAGGGTACATGTAGTTCTGAAAAGAACTGTTGTTGGTGACTGACGTTTCGACAACCTGAGCAGAAGTCATCTTCAGAGTCAAGTGAATAATGTTTGTCAGTCGATGATGTCATAAGGCAAACTTTAAACTTTACTATGACACCTGTGACATGTTTTCCCTCAGTTGATGTACCTGCCATGTGTTACCTTGCTAAGCACAGGCTGCATGTTTCTGCTTGAAGCTTTGATTAGCTGATGGCATAATTTTCGCTTGTTGTGATTGGCCACATTTGCAATCATTAGATAGTCTGCATGTCTGGGTATGTCATGCAGCCTGTCTTTAGAAAGAGGCTGTAACAGATTAAAACGAGTGTAAGTTAGAATTTTTATTTTTGCAGCTAAGAAGAATCAGTGGAACTGGCAAGACCAAAGCCCGAGTGGACAAGTACGAAAACAAGAGGTATGAAGACAAACAGTCACAACCTATTTCACTTCCTTGTGCTTTGACTTGTACAAGCAGCACTAGAAACCCCTTTTCAGCTCTTGAAATGTAGAAAACATGAGCCGCAGGCAAGTGTTTTCTACATTTCTCGAGTGTTCTCAAATTCCCAGAGTGTTTTATCACAGTATAATACACGGCTTAGGCTTCTTCATTTGCTTGATGATATAGAGGTAACGTGGCGAAAAACAATAAAGCACGCCTTTTCTATGTTTTGTACTCTGATAAAACATGAGTTTTTTACCAATGAGAGCGTGCGCGGGGTCCTATCTATTTTATAATGGATACTAAAAACCAGTCAGCCATAATTATGTTTCTTCGAGGAAGTCAGTTGAGTATTCTATCACTCTGAAATCTTCACTGTCAGATCGTAGACCCTCTCTTGATCATTCAACAAAATTATGAATCTTGATTATAAGCTTGCAAATAGAGATGTCATTTTAATCATTCTTCTGACAAGTGTCCCCAAAAAATTGTCAGCAGAGAATTTTT